TTATGAGAAATACTTCTCTTGCAAAACGCAGCAGGTAGCAATGCAGAAAGCAGCATACCTCAAAGCATATCTTTTTTTTTTGGCTGAATTCAGCCCAAGCTAATATATCATCCAGCTAAGGAAAGCTAAGGAAACTATTTCATAGATTTTAAGTCAACCTAAAACATTTGGCTGTGGAGTTACTTAAGAGAAACTATGACATGTATGTTGGAATTACCGTAATGTTGTTGGGTACAATTCTGAATTTACCAAATAAACAATTTCAAAGGCCATGGTTATCCCTAGTCTTCCCAGAGTAGCAACTGTGGTCCTCAACCACGGTATTCCTGTGAACACAGAAAGTTTGGAAAGGAAAAGTCAGGGGTCTGATTACATCAACATTTTACAAAACAACAAAAGGCATTTGTTTAGTGTCTCCCAGCCCTAAGTCTCTGCTAATTTTAAACACAATTGATAAAACCTTCTAATATTGTAGCCAAATTTCAACAAAAACCACAATAACCGGGATGACAGCTAGCACTTCAGTGTGCTACACGCCTTTCCAAGCAGGGTTCGATGACAGACACACAATTCAAGAGCCATCTATGAGCAGCTGCTACGTTGAAACAATGTTCCAGGCAATGCTTTCCTGGACAGCCTGAATCCTCTGGCCTTTGTCTTCAATTGTGCCCTTGAAAACTGTCACTACAGCTACATCTGTCCTCTCTGTCCATACCCCTTAGTGATAACACATAAAATAGCTGTTCCCCAGCAGACCAGGAAAACTCCCCACATGAGCTCAGTTTGCTTTCTGGAGACTAGCAAGGCTTTGAGGACTCGGACTGCTAAAAGGGGACCCCTGTTCCATGTCATTCACTGTCTTCCTCATCCCAATCATTCTACTCCCCCCAAGAAATCAACCAGAAGGAGCCAGATTCTTAAGAACTAGTTGGTTCATGCATTGTAAATTGGACCGTTTTAGGTCTGCTCTGGTTATATGAAGAAACTCTCTTTTCCTCCATAGTAACTACTGGGAAATGCCAAATGTTCTCCATGAAATATTTTCTTCCTTTTGCATTTTAAGGGTAGAAAGAGTTAACTGTTTTTAGTCTAAGAAGTCAGTGCTCTAAATTTCTTAAAAGTTGTGCAATTTAAGTCATCCTTTCCTAGAGGACTTGGTATGAGGACATAGGACGACATCAGCAAGACGATACCTGCTCTCCAAGACAAGCCGGCATTTGTCTGGTGTTCATCATTGAACTTGGAGCCTCTACACCTTTTATACTCATACCTGTGCTCAGTCAGTACTAAATCATCCTCTTGTCTTCTAGGAGGATTATTGCACCTTTCTGAATATCTAATTTTTTAGTAGAAAAGTAGGCATGAATGAAACGAAAAATGAAAAAAGAGAATGAAGCTCAGTAGATATGATTTTCCCTAGAGAATATTCAACAAATCAAAAAAGCTAAAACTCACTAAATAAAACAACTGCCCAGGAGGGCAAGCAGAGAAAAAAGATGGTTCAATAATCCATACTAATGCTGGGAGACCCCAGTTTACTGCATTTTGGTTGCAAACTGGCAGAGGACATCCTGGTGTGCTTAACGTTTTTCCCAGGTGAGGACACCTGCAGCTGTCACACTAACAGTTGCATCAGGAAGTGAGGAATGTCAGAGCTGCGCTGACACTCCAGGCCACCATCTGCTCTGGCACAGGCGGTCGTAAACATGTGTTTTATTTAGGCTCTGCTTTTTCATGAAGGCCAGGGAGGGGGACTAGCAAATGCATTCCACCCCGTCCTTCCACCAGCAGGTGGTGCTGGGAATGGAAAGTGGGAGCCGGTGCCCAGACTCCTCGGCCGGCCAGATGGGGCAACCTCCTGCTGCTCTCGGGGCTGCGGTGAAGGCCACCGGCTACCGCGGAGACAACTTCATTATCCAGGCTAGTGGTCCAGTTATAGGTGTCTATTTACTAAATCAAGATTGCCCTAGAAGTGAGTCTCACTGATAAGTTCAACAGTGAAAAGAACCAAACAACAACCAAGAAACTAAATTAAAACACACACACACGCGCGCGCGCGCACGCACACACACACATACACCAGGAAAAGTGCATGTGCTTAACTCAGATAAATAACTAGTCAGTTCAGTAAAATGTTCCAAAAATGCACCANTATGTCCTCACAGACTCACTGTTTTCATTCAAATTTCCACTGTTGAACAATAAATGGGAACATTCACTACCAGGAGGAAGGAAGCGGAGGTGGAGGCTGGTTGGGTAGAAAAGGGCCCGCCCCACACCCTTTACTACTGAGGAGGGCCGGGCAGGTGTGAACCCAGGCAGGGCAGGCACAGAACCTTCCAGACTCTGAGTCCATCCCTTCCCAAGCTCTACGGAGACTGGAGGTAGGAAGGCAGATGTGAACTTGAGAGACATTGAAGAGGTTATGACATAAGTACAAGTGGTTTCATGTCCCCTGTTCTCTCAGCACTTTTAGCATCAAAGCTAATTAAGTTTGATATTGATACATATAGACCATTAAAAAACACGACTAGGTTTTAGGCTTATTTTTAAACATACTGAAGATAATATGGTCCCCTGATCATTATTGGCTCTGTTCTCCAATACCATAAAAAATTTCATAGTATTTGGCTTTGACTCAGAACCTAAACACTGTTTACCAAAACTCTTTATATAAAGTGAATTAAAACCATTCAGGATTTCAAATTTTATTGTACTCAGGTTGGTGCCTCAAAACCAAAATGGTTGTCATAAAAAGATGAAATGGATATCATTAATATCAAACCTAATAATCATCATAGGGTTCTATTAATGCAAAAAATGTAGACGAAAGCACTTTAGAACAGTGTATAAGACGAGTTCTTACCAAAGATGATTAGAGGTAGTTCCAGCCACACGGCTGCTAGCCGGAAGAGCAGAAACGGGGCTATGATTCCCCCAAAATCACACAAGCCTGAACAGAGCGAAACTCCGAAGTTTCTGTAGAATAAAAAATAGTTTTAATTGAAAACTATTTTAGTAAGCAAATTCAAGATAATGAAAATATTCAGACATATTAAGTAACAAAGAAATTGTGACGATACTTTCCATTTCTATAGTTTTTAACTTTGGAAACTGCTACTCTCTTGCACTCCAGGCAAACCACTTCTGTTCTGCACCAGGCCACAGTGAGGCGAGTGAGCCGGTCTCCAGGGCTGGGGAAAGGCATTCGCCCACCAGCAGCTCACCACCCTGTCTGCTCTGGGACACTAGCGTGCCCCTCTGGTACCCTTGCCTAACAGCAAAGTGTGCCCATGGAATATTTCTCCCGCATAAGAGGCCAATTTGCACTAATCCATGCACACTGTTCCATTTTTCCCTTCAATAACTGTCTGCTCACAGATGCAAGACGTGGCTAGAAGAGAGGCCATGGTCTTGAAGGAGGGTGATGCTGATAAATGCAGACTTAACTCACAATCTNTACACCAGGAAAAGTCCATGTGCTTAACTCAGATAAATAACTAGTCAGTTCAGTAAAATGTTCCAAAAATGCACCAAGTTGTCATCCTTGTGGAGATGTGGTCTGTGTGTTCTACCCTCAGACCTTAATCTGAAAGACTCAACTCCTCCAAGCGGTGGCATTCAGTGTCTAATTACACTGGGACAGAGATTTTGTTAAAACGTGTAACAAAAGAGAAGCCCTAAGGCATCGCGCTCTTCATTAACTAAGGAAGGAAAAGAAAACAATTTATTAGCAAGTGTAAATTATGTGTGAATAATGACGTATGGACATGAAAACTTTCAACCATCCCAGTAAGTTGCTAAACTCATTTTGAGGTGGCAACAGATATCTTTTGGTAGCGATGACAAAAACTACAAGACAAGTTAAAAATGAGTACTAAAGATAAAAACGTCTTCCACAGAGTCATATGAGAACACAAAAAAACAACGCTCCTCTCTGAATGGGGTTTTGGTCAAGTTAGCAGAGATTTGTAGGAATAATACCTCCACTACTGAAGAAAGGGTACAGGACTTAAAATAAGGACAATTTTGAATTTCCTCTAAATGTAGCCTCTACTCTGAGTTCTAAAATCAAATTTAGTGAAAAGTCTCAATAGAGGTGTGTGAATTAGGATACATGGACTTCCCACTTAAAGAGAAATAAAAGTAAAAAACAACTTTCTCATTTCAAAAAGAAAACTCACTGAAACTGCTAGGTTTGTGGCTAAATAAACTCAAATTAAAGACAGCAGATGGGAATGGATCAAGGAAGCTGTTCGTTTTCTAGACTTTAGAGTTCACAAATTTTGGTCAAAAGCAGTGAGCCTTAGGTGAAGACACAGACAGAAAGGCCATCTTTTCCCCCCAGAATTTCAATTTTCAGCTCTTTGAAAAGTTGGGTTCAGTGCAAAGCAAGCCAGTTCAACTGTTTTCTGTGCGATCATTTTAGAGCTGATTTCTACAAAGGGCTCATCAGCACTCTCTGCAGAGGCCGTGGGCCTGCTGAGGACCTCAGAATGGCGGAGAGGAAAATCCTTTCTAATGTTAAACAGTCCCAAGAATCACGTCCAAAAGGGCCTGTAGGTTGGAAGGACTGTCAGCTCACGAAAGGAACCTCTGTTCATATCTGGAATTCACTGAAGGGATTTAAAACTTATTCTTGCCAGTCGATCATGACCGACATGTGACTACAAAAGCAGCCAAATCTGCAGAATATATAAATAAAACGTGTCCAGAATAAGAGCGATTCCTTTTTAGTCTCACTGAAAACAATTTTAAAACTTCAATAGAGAAATTATATCTACAAAATAATCTGTTGAGACCCAGCAGGAAAGTCTATTCCTTGCCTTGTATTTTACAGTATACGAAAGTGTTTTCTACAGAATAGCTTGATTCCCACCCACTTAGTTGCTTCAACCTTGGTTTGGATGCAACATTCATTAAAATCATCTCAATTAGTCTAGGACTAGAGAGAATCTTCTTAAGTCATTAATCTTTCTCCCCACGTTCCTAATTTCATATGCAATGATTACTTCATCCTTGCTTCACATGCGATGAGACCAGAAGAGCTTGTCTTACGGAACTACATTTTCAGTTAAACCCACAACTACACAGTAACAAAGTAAAATAGAAAGAACAGTGACGTCTCCAGTGTCGCTGACGGCTCACCCTTCTGCTTACTTAAATCACACACTTCCCGAGGGCGGGAATGATGTCTGTCTTGTTCGCCTTTCTGCTCCCCTTTCAGTTTAATAACTGGCACTTAATAGACACTGAATAGACATGTACTGATAGATGGGGCGCTACCATGCGGATCTCCCAGCCCTTAGAATAGGTTAACTTAAAGTAGTGGGTTGAATAACGTCTCCTCCCAATTTACATTTACCTAATAGACACTGAATAGACATGTACTGATAGATGGGGCGCTACCATGCGGATCTCCCAGCCCTGAGAATATGTTAACTTAAAGTAGTGGGTTGAATAACGTCTCCTCCCAATTTACATTTACCTGAAACCTCAGAATGTGAATATTTGGGAAGACAGTCTTTGCAGATGTGATTAGTTAAGATGACAGTGAGAACGTCTTGTGTAGATGTAGGTGGAGATGAGAGCCATGCCCAGAACCACGGGGGTGCCCGCACCCCAGAAGCCAGGAGAGACGCATGAACAGACCAGATGCCCTCACAGCCTCTGGAAGTAACCAGACCCTGCGGCACCTCGATTTCAACTTCCAGCCTCCAGAACTGTGAGAGGACAGACTTCTGTTGTTTCAAGCAACCCAGTTTGTGGTACTTTATTACAGCAGCCCTAGGAAACTAATTCACTAAAGGAAAGTAAGATAAATACAAATAGGCAGTTTCTGTTTATTATCAACCATTCCAATATGACAGAGGACTTGTACATATTTTTTTTTTCTGTTCTGAAGACTGACCTTTCTGTAACTTTATTCATATAGGGCCTATCTGATGTTTTGGGAATTCATAAACCTTCAACTAATTGATAAGCTCATCTGCAAATGTCTGACTGTTCTGACTTCCACAATATTATCAGTTTCTTTCCCGACCCTCAGAAGATCCTCAGAGAAAGAGTCTCTCTTGCACAGACACAAAGGACTATGGGAGAATCCAATTCTGTCAGTAATCCCCGATCCACGCCACCCAGAACATGGAATTAATTCTCTCGTCTGACGCACAGTTCCCTGGGAGTTCCGAGGGCTTCCTCCTTCCAGCCCCTGCTGTGTTCTGCGGCAGCCATCATCGGGGCTGTGTCACCTGTGCATCTGGAGCCACCTGCCACCTTTGCTTCCCCTTATCCTGCAGGCGCGACGGCCGTGACCTAGCTCATGCCCTCAGCATCGCTCCTCCTCACAGCCATGGTCCAAAGCGCTGCAGACATGCCCAGCCCACTCCTCCTCCTCCCCAGGCTCCCAGAACACTGCCCCAGCTCCTGGCATGGCCTGCAGGGCAGTCATGCTGGCGCCAACCATCCCCTGGGGCTCCTGGTCTCGGTTTTAGTGACGAAAGAGAAGCTTTCGTTCCTAAACTTGCAAAGGTGTTTCATACTTCTGGGAACTCTTCTCTACCTGGGAAAGTCACTCCTCTGCCTCCTGCCTCTCTGGTGCATTTCATCCTTCACACATGCCCAGTTCTCACCACTGAAGCTTTTCCAGACCCCCCACCCCAGACAGTCATCGCTTACCCCTCCCCCCCTTTTTTGGTTTGTGACTTCTAAATCTTGTAAATAATTCTATTAGTTTGTTTATCACAATGAATTGTGACAGTATATGTATATGAATCATGACGGTATATATATCCCTTAATGTGTCATAGGAACTAGTCAAAAACTGCATCTTTCTTGTACTGTGACCTCAGCATTTAGCATGACGCTTGCGATATGGCAGATGCTCAGGGAATCTGTTAAATAATGTCACCAATACCACAAAAGTAAGTCAGACAAAGGTGATTAGAAGCAAACTACAACACTGTGAGCTAGATTTAGGATACACCTATTTCATCCACAATGAGCCTAAAAATTGAGAAAATAGAAAAATCTATAGAACGAATCTCTTATCTTCTAAGTCCTCACACTGGTAGCAGAAAATTGAGTGACATCACTAACGCTTGCCCGGTGCCAAGATCGGGATGTGATGGCACATTTCCTAAGGACAGGTGGCTCCCACAATTGATTACTCTGCTTTGAGTGTTTTCAAGTTCTCCAGCTGCCAAGCAGATGTGGGGGAAGATTACCTTCTGGTATGAATGCAGTGACCAGGCATGCCACCCCTGCCACGATATTGCTTGCCGCGAAGGGAAGGCGTCGTCCGACACGCTCAATGGTAAGTAAGATCAAGAGGGCTCCTGGCAGTTCCACAACTCCCGAGATAAAAAAGTCTATGTAGAGGTTGCCTCCTATAATTCCCAGGCGCATGACGAGTCCTTGGTATACCACTGCGCTTGTGAACCTTGTAAGAAAACAACAAGCAAGAGAGAACTTCCACCTGATCTGAAGGAGGGCCACATTGCAAATTCAACACAAGCTTTTAAACCCATCACAAGCCAAACTTACCAAGCAAACATAAGGATAAGTGTGCACTTCCTCATTTGGGGAGTTCTCACCAGATCTAAAAAGGATGGATTACTAACTTCCTCATCTGTAGCAGTGATCTATGTAAGAGAGGCAGATTTCAGTAGCAATATACAGCAAGAAACACCTGCACACTATAGATTGTCATTAACCAGATTCAAAGCTATGCAATCAAACAATCTTACTGAACTGACTGGGATCTTTCATAATTATGTCTTAAAAGGTGAGAACAAAAAGGTTTGGATAGGTCAAATTCACAAAGATGTGGTTGCTGCGCTCAGAATCCGTTCTCAGGGTAACTGCAGTACTCTATGCTAAACTGCTCCGAGTAAACAAGGAAAAAAGGTATGTTCTAAAGTAAAACGCATGTGCCCATTTATTAAATTGGAGGAAAATTGACATAAAAGTGGGTAATAGCCAAGAGTTCAAACCAACCTAAATGTCCATCAACAGATGACTGGATAAGGAAAGTGTGATATATACACACAATGGAATACTACTCTGACGTAAAAAAGAATGAAATTCTGCCATTCACAGCAACATGGATGAGCTTAGAGAAAATTATGTTAAGGAAAACAAGCCAGGCACAGAAAGAGAAATACCGCATGTCCTCAGTCATAAGTGGGAGCTAAAAAATAAACAAATTTTAAAAAGAGAATAAAAGTGGTTAAAGCAAGTGGGATCCAACCAAATGCTTCTTTGTATTAAATCCTCAAATCCTAATTAGACAAATAAGTTAGAGTCATGTGAAATCCACGGGCAAGCACCGAAGCCATTACTCTGCTTTTGTCCGCTTTTTGGAATCTAGCATCTTTCTAATCCAGGAAAATTTAGCTCATCTCTATTCAGCCATCCAAGAAGTTGTTCTTCAATTCAATTCAACAAATACTGTTGTGGGCCACCATGTGCAAGGTGCTACCAGGGAACAAAGCTTAAGAGCAAACCCCCATCATGATGTGCTGCTTCTAGTTGCCAAAGACACCGTAGCACAGTTCCCTGCAGGAACCACCGTTCCATGTTTCTGTGCATCTGCACAGTCTGTCACCTCTGTGTGGAGGGCCCTTTCCCCTCCTCAGTGCTGATGTCACCTGCCCTGGGAGATCTTTCCTAACCTCAGATAGCACTGACGGCTCCCCGATCCGGGCCTCTCCTCCCCAGACCTCCTGTACAACTGCACTCCCTTAGGGGTCCCTTCCTCTTTCTCCTGCCACAAGCTCTGCAGCTCTTGGAGGGCAGGGACTGTATTGTGGCACCAAGCAAAATGCCTGGCATTCAACGACAGTGTGCATAATAACTGAATGCTGAAGCAAGAAAGCCAGCGCCCTGCCGTAGCTGCTCCCTCGGGGTTGCCCTCAGGTTTTGTCCTTCTATTGAGCGAGAACCCTGGCTATGGAAGACAGGACCCCTCTGTTTACTCAACTCCAGATCTGGCCCAGAGTGAGAGGAAACCTAGGCAAAACTTTCCTGAGACTTTGAGCCAAAGGTCTCTCTGCCAGCAGTCACAAAAATTTGACTCAGAACAAATTCACATTGATAGGACCTTGTCAATCACATACTCTAAATATTAAGTTCAGTGGGTCAACCAAAATTTGATACCTCAGGCCTATGTTTGCTCCAGGGAAAGTAACACATACAAAAGAAGACTGCAAAATAAATGTCTTTAGATCACTTTCTTTTCCTAAGTCTTCCCAATACTGTATTTCTTTTAAATTAGGATACCTTTTCCCCCATATTTTAACATCCCATAAATTGGGATGTGTTCTACCACGGGACTGATTTAAAAAAAAAAAAAAAGCAATGTGTCACTGTTTAAATAGCATGTTTTTTCTTATTTAGTGGTACACAAAATGATTGTGTCTTAGAGTCAATGAAACCGTCATGTTTTCCACGACGGTGCCTGTGGACGGCTGCTAATGGACTCCACCGTGCATTCTTTCCTTCTTCTTTTTGATAACAGAATCCATGGAATTTTAGTTGGGCCCATAGCTGCCTGGCTAAAGTCACATTTCCAAGCCTCTCTTTCAACTATGGGTGGCCCTGGGACCAAGCCCTGAACGGTGAGGTGACTGTGAATGTCATGTGTAGAAGATCTAGGTCCCATCCTTAAAAAAAATAGTGGCTTGCCCTTTAGTTTCTGTTTTTCTCTTCCTGAGGGATAAAAGAAGTTGCTGGTGAGATTCAACCACACAACCTATTGCAGGTGATGCTGGAGAAACAAAATAAGTGGAACCTGGTTCTGGAGGACCTCGTGAGCAGAGCTGGGCCACTCACCTCTGGGGGGGGGGCGTGTTAGGGAGAAAAACATTTTTCTCTTTTTTATCCCTATATTTTTTGGGTCTCCATTTCAAAAACTATAGGTCTCCAATGCCTATTAAGATATTTCCTGGGGCAACCTTTTCAATTTTAAGACCCCAGTGAGGGATTTCATTTTTATTTATTTATTTATTTATTTTTGTCTTTTTTCGTGTCCAGCAACGGATCGCAACCCTCGGTGTCGCGCCCGTACCGGACCGGGAACGGTAACGGGATTGCAACCCTCGGTGTTGCGCCCGCAACTCGCTCAGCCAGTGAGCGCCGGTCTGTATGTGGGATCCGAACCCTCGGCGGGAGCACCCCCACGCTCCCAAGCGGCGCACTGTAGCAGTGTGCCACCGGGCCGGCCGGGGATTTCATTTTTAAATCTACCTTTTCCTTTGCTGCTTCAAAAATAAGTCAGGAATAACAAAAGTGGAAGATAAGATCTTGGTAAATTAAAGCAATATATTGTTATATGGTTCGTTACCAAAATGTTTTTCACAATTAATTTCAATATATTACCCACATTAAAATGGCTAATATCGGGCCGAGCCGTGGTGCACTCGGGAGAGTGCGGTGCTGGGAGGTCAGCGACGCTCCTGCCACAGGTTCGGATCCTATATAGGAATGGCCAGTGCGCTCACTGGCTGAGCGCAGTGCGGGTGACACCACACCAAGGGTTGCGATCCCCTTACCGGTCACGAAAAAGACACACACACACACACACACACACACACACACAAAAAGGTGACACCACACCAAGGGTTGCGATCCCCTTACCGGTCACGAAAAAGACACACACACAAACACAAACACAAAAAAAACAACGGCTAATATCTACAGAGTGTGCTGTGTTTGTTAGATTCTGAGCTAAGTACTTTACACGGATTATTTCATTTAATTCTCATCAAAGCTCTATAAAGGCAGTACTTTTATCAGCACCGCCCTCTAACCAAGTGAGCTGACCAGCCAGCTCTAAACTTAGTACTTTTATTAATGCCATTTTCTAAATGAGAAAAACAAGGCTTAGGACATTAAGGATTAAATTCAGGAAGGTAGCCTAAGCAGGACTTGAAACCAGACAATTGACTGGTGAGATCCTCTGTTTTTAATCTCCATACCGCACTGCTGAATCTACAGAAAGCTTTTTATTCTAAAGAAAGTCTTTACAATTAATAGCATTTCTCTATATTTTTAATGAAGGGCACCATGCACTTGACCAAAAACTGAATCTTTAATTAAAGCACTGTTTTATGAAAAGGTTAGATTTGACTGAAACAATTTAGGTAAATTAAATTTGACTCAAAAAAATAGATGTTAAGGATATTTACGTTCAGGATTAAAAGCACCCATAATATGAAGGCAGTTTTCCTCCGTGAAAGTGTCCTAGTGACTTATTCCAGTTATTCTTTTTTTCCACTGAGGGCTTCTCCATGACTCAGACTAGGGTCTGTGTGGTTGGTCAGCCTCGGACTCTTCTCTTCTCTCTGGGGAGTCCCTGATAGGGCCTCTCCTTTGTACATCGGCACCGCTGCTCACTCGGGGCACATGGGTGCTGACACCCCTTTCTTTTCAAAAGCAATTTCCATGACACATTTGTATGGGCTCTAATTTCCTATTCAGTCTTCTTCTTTTCTGCCTAAGCTATGACTTCTACTCACTCTGAACAAATCTGCTTTCATTCAGGCCCCAATGTCAGCATCCCAGGATCGAAGTGAAATCGTACATCCTATATTTTAAGATCTCTGGCCAGTTCGGGTAGATAATTTGACATTTAAATACCTTTGTAGATTATTCAATTATTCATGTCTCCAATAATGGAGCAACTTTGACCTTCCTGTTAATTCTGTAGTTGTCTCTTTTTCCCAACCAGATAGATCTCCAGTCACTACTTGGCCACAGAATTATGACATGTTAGATTTTCACAAGACTGTAGAAGCCTCAGTGGTCTAACCCGGAGGTCAGCAAACTTCTGCAAAGGACCAGTTAGTACATATCTTTGGTTTTGTGGGCTCTAAGTTCTCTTTGGCAACTACCTCACTTTGCCATAGTGTGAAAGCAGCCGTAGACAACATATAAACGGGTTCCAATAAACTCTGTTTACAAAATCATGCTGAGCTGGGTCTAGCCTGCAGCTGTTTGCCAAAGGGTCAGTGCTGGAGGTACTTGTAAGATACTAATATGATTCCCATTACAGAGAAGAAGAAGCTGAGGCACAGGAAACTAAGTAGCTTACCCAAGGAGGACATGCAGAGAGTAAGCAGATGAACCAGGACACTGATCCCAAGGTCTGTGTTTTTAACCATCACATCGCACTGTCTGCAGTATGCAGAAGCCATGTTTATCTCATTGTTTAAAGCGTGCTTGTATTATTTCATTAATGGTTATCATGAGGTAGTGGGATTATGGTGGCTTTTACTCTCTTCTTTTTGGCTATGAATATCCTCTTAAAATTGAAAATGAAATCTATATTACTTTTATAACAAGAAAAGATAGCTCACTTTTAAAGTAGAGGATTTAAATTACATACTAGTAATTATTGACTAAGTATTATTTCTCATTCTTTCCTAATTGAAGCCCCACAGTTCATTAATTCATGTTCTCAGGGGAGCTGAATCTACTCCTAGTTGTAGGGGAGGCCTGATTATCTAAGGGTAATCCTATCACATGTGTCAGTGACTGGACATGTGACCCAATTTTAACCAATAAAAAATGGGCATGTAGTCTAATTTGGGCCAAGGAGAAATGGACATTTGTCCCAATTTCAGCCAATGAGGAATGGGCA